CTGTCTTTGCTGCAGCAACTGGCGCTGCTGCTTTTGCTGCTGCTGTTGCTGCATGCTTTACTGCTGTCGGCGCTGCTGCCGGTGTCCTTAGTGCTGCTGCTGCTGCTGCTGCTGCTGCTTCTGTCTTTGCTGCAGCAGCTGGCGCTGCTTGCTTTGTTGCTGCTGTTACTGCATGATGTGCTGCTGTCATTGCTGCTGTCGATATCCATTGTGCTGCTGCTGCTGTTGCACTCCTTGCTGCAGCAGATGGCGCTGCTCTCGTTGCTGCTGCTGTTGCTGCATAGTGTGCTGCAGTCGCTGCTGCTGCTGCTGTCGCTGCTGCTGCTGTTCTTGCTGTTCGTGCTACTACTCATGCTGTCTCCCTTACTACTGATGTAACACTCCTCCTTTTTGCTTCCGCTGCTGCTGCTGCTGCTGCTGCTGCATAGGGGTGCTGCTTTCTCCTCCTGTGGAGGCATCTTGCTGCTGCTGTATCTCTGTGGATGTCTACGGTGTATGTACACTAGAGAAGACAGCAATAAACCCTAAACCCTAAACCCTAGCGGTGAGACAAGGCTAAACAGAAGTGCAACCACCCCTGATCTGTCTAGGGTTTGCCGAGGAGGGTTTAGGGTTTAGGGTTTAGGGTGTGTGGTTAGCAAGTCTTGCATTAGCTTCCTTACCAACAAAACAAGAATAAAACCCCTTAAGTATGGTTGGAGTCTTAAGGTTAAGGGTTTAGGGTTTAGGGTTTAGGGTTTAGAGTCTAGAGTTTAGGGTTGGGCACACCAGGGGGCCCCCCAGCGCGATACAGCAGAAGGCCGCGGCGGCGCAGGGGCCCTTGGCGAGTCCTTAGTGTGTAGGGTTTAGGGTTTAGGGTTTAGGGTTTATTAGTTGTATATATAAATGAAGAATAAATATTTTTTATGAATTGTCCTTCTTTATATTACTATAAAAACACGAAGGCATACACCGCGTCTGCAGACAGCAGGGCCTCAAGCAGCAGCAGCAGCAGCAACAGCAGCAACAGCAGCAACAGCAATTTGTTTTTATTTATAACTATTGAAGTCTTGTTCTTCTTTCATGACAAAGGATTGTCTACTTGTCAATTTTCAGTGAAGAGGGAAGCATGTCTCAACGGATTAGGGTTTAGGGTTTAGGGTTTAGTGTTTAGGGTTTGACTCGACTAGCGACACAAGGAAGGAAATACTTCTTGCAGTTGTTTTTTCTTCCTTTTTCCTCAAATAAATATTTGTATATTTACAACAATAAACCCTAAACCCTAAACCCTAAACACAGTACTCAAAGAATCTAAGACACCGCCACCTGTCGGCCGCAAACCGTAAACCCAAAACCCTAAACCCTAGATCTACGCACGTGTCCTTCCTACCGTCTTCCCTCCACGTTGCCTCACGTACACCGCAGAAGAGGAAGCAGCAGCAAGCAGCAGCAAAAGCAGCAGCGGCAACGGCTGCTGCTGCTGACTTCAGCAGCCATTTCAACTGTTGCAGCAGCAGCAGCAGCACACCAGCAGCTGCAGCAGCCCATCAGCAGCATTCCTTTGCAGCAGGCTACACCGAGTTTCCCCTGTACCCCCCAAACCCTAAACCCTAAACCCTCAAGAGGTTGAGCAATATGGAGGGGCAGGGCGCTGCGAATGATCAGAGGGAAGCACTTAACGTCTTGCTACGATTGGTCCGCCAAACCCTAAACCCTAAACCCTAAACCCTAAACCCTAGTGGTGAACATACCCTCTGTTGTGTGAATTAAAACCCTAAACCCTAAATATTAACAAGTAACCACAAGTGCTTCTTCTCACCTGCAGCGTGTATTCGCGGTTTAGGGTTTAGGGTTTAGGGTTTAGGGTCTAGGGTTGTGCTGCAGAGACTCGATGGGAAGAATGGCAACACAATTAAGGAGAAGAAGGTTTGTACATTGCCTGATGATTACAGATTGAGGTATGCAAACCCTAAACACTAAACCCTAAACCCTAGGCCTTGTTGTGATCTGTGTTGTGTAGTGCGTAGTGTATCTGATTGTTTGCCCCCTTTGTGGTGTTAAGGGTTTAGGGTTTAGGGTTTAGGGTTTGGGGTTTTGTGCTTCAGAGTACCCGAGAGGGTTTATCAAAGTACAAAGTTATCATCAGCAGCAGCAGCAGTTGCTGCTGCTGCTGCATGCAAACCCTCGCAGCTTGCTGCTCTTTGTCTAAATAGTTGTTTAGGTGGACAGACACCTGAGCAACAAGAAACAATTTATCATAAACAATTAAAATCGGTAAACCCTAAACCCTAGCAAACACTCTTCCCCTTGACTCCTCAAACACTACCGACTTCTCTAGGGTTTAGGGTTTAGGGTTTTAGGGTTTAGGGTTTAGGGTTTAGGGTTTGTGTATCAGGAAGTGTCGGCCTTGCGAGAGTTTGGGAACCAGATGAAGGAGAGGTTTATGGCTGAGGGTTTAGCGGCAAAGGGTTTAGAGAAGGGTTTAGGGTTTAGACCAGAAAGGAATGGAGAAAAAAAGAAGAAAGGAGATATACCACCTAATATTATTCCTCCCTTATTTATAGATAAAAAAGAAGAAAAAATAAAAGAAAAAAATAAAAAAAGAAATAAAAAAGAAGAAAAAAATGTTATTGATTCACAAACCCTAAATGTGCTCACGAAGGGCATTGAAGGCACTAAACAAGAAAGAGCTATTCATAGCATTATTCAGTACGTCTAGGGTTTAGGGTTTAGGGTTTAGGGTTTATGGTTTAGGGTCTGGGGTTTAGGGTTTAGGGTTTAGGGTTTAGAGTGGGGGTTTCTGTTTCTTTTGCAGATTCTTTGAAGGGAATACCGAGGCGTCTCGAGATGTCAGGTGAGTCTTCCAGGGTTTAGGGTTTAGGGTTTAGGGTTTAGAATCTAATGCTTGTATTTATCCCTAGGGTTTACCGCTAGGGTTTATTCTCTAATATGAATGTTAACTGTCAGATGCAATCCTAGTTTGAAACAAGAATTTCAAAATTTAGGGTTTAGGGTTTATGAATTAGGGTTTAGGGTTTAGGGTTTAGGGTTTATGTATTAGGCGTCTGGAATTTGAAAACCGCCAACTTTGTGCAGCCCAAAGATTACATGATTCGCAATGCAAAAGTTTATATGATAAGATTGAGGGTTTAGAGAAAGAAAATAATAAATTAAAAAAATATAATCAAGAAATACATCTTGTATTACAGACACAAAAAGAAGCTACACAGGTATACAAAACCCTAAACCCTAAACCCTAAACCCTAAACACTAAGTTGATGCTAGTTGCAAAAACTAAACGGGTTTCTCATCATACATAAAAATATCGGCAAATTAGGGTTTAGGGTTTAGGGTTTACAGTCGACTTTCTAGGCTTCTATGACGAAACTCTCGCCTGTGGTAAACTCAAACCCTAAACCCTGGACCCTAAACCCTAAACCCTTTCTTTTCTGTGGTGTATGTATAGCAAGAACTAGAATTAAAAGAAGAAGAAATAAATGCATTAAAAAAACAACTAAAAGAAACAAAAGATGCTCTGGCTGCAGCAGATAAAAATATACAAGAAGGAGAAGAAAAAATACGCAAGATGGAGGCAGCCCTGTAAACCCTAAACCCTAAACCCTAAATCCTTATTTTTTTTATTGGCTACAGAACGATTACTCACACAGGCCTTCTGATAACCTGGTATGCTGTGTATCCGAGACACCGTAAACCCTAAACCCTAGACCCTTTTTCTTGTGTTTGTTGCTGCAGGGAAACAAAAACACAACAGTGCTTAAATCTATCGCATGCATACGAAGAACAAAAAAGAATTAAACAACAAACCTCTACTAAGGTGTACGTACAACACACAACCTTCTAGGGTTTAGGGTTTAGGGTTTAGGATTTACGATTAAGCAACAAACATCCACTAAGGTGTACATCCAACAGGCCGCCTCCTTGGGTTTAGGGTTTATGTTTTATTTCATAGGGATGAGGGTCTAGGGTTTATGGCCTAGGGTTTAGGGTTTAGGACTTGTGCAGGACAAGGAGACAAAAGTCTATGGAGCCTGAGCCTGCAGACACTGCATTGACTGAAGCCCTCATCCGTCTTGAGAAGCTCGCTTGGACCTGCGAATATTTAGGGGTTAGGGTTTAGGGTTTAGGGTTTAGGGTTTGGGGTTTAGACCGTCAGATTTGTAGCATATTCATAGGCTTCAAGGGTTCAAGGGTTTAGGGTTTGGGGTTTTGACAGTAGCAAAGAGTCGGCAGCGTCACCACATGTCGTTGGGTTAAAGGTACCTAGACAACTCAAAACCCTAAACCCTAAACCCTAATTTTGTGTGCAGAATGAGAAGTTGGTTGCCATTGAGTCTTACAAGAGAGCTAAAGCTAAGGAGGCCCTTGCCCGTAGCGAGGTGGAGGTCTACAAGTAAACCCTAAACCCTAAACCCTTGGGACTAATAAACCCTTTGCTCCATCCCCTCTCCTGAAAACCCCGCATCTCCTCATTCCCTCTTCAGACTTTAGGGTTTAGGGTTTAGGGTTTAGGGTTTGTGTGCAGGAAGTATTTAGAGGAATTAACAGAGGAAAGAGATCATTACTATCATACTGCCATTGTAGGTTTTTTTCTTCTTTTTTTTGTTTTATTTAATTATATATTTATATTTATAATGAATTATTGTGAGGGTTTAGGGTTTACGTGCAAGTATATGATTAACAAAAGACAAAAGAGGAGGGTTTAGAGTGTGAATCTTTTAATGAATTATGAGGGTTTAGGGTTTAGGGTTTATCTATGCGTATATATGTTATAAAGAAGACAAAAGAGGAGGGTTTAGAGCAAAATCATGAGGGTTTAGGGTTTAGGGTTTAGGGATTAGGGTTTAGGGTTTATGTGTGTGTTACAGAAAACAAAAGAGGAGGGTTTAGAGAAAGAATCATATTATAAATCTAAGGAAGAAAATTTAATAAAAACATTTAATACAAAAATACAAGAAAAAGAAAAACAATTATTTGCATCTAATGAGAAACAAATACAGATGCAAACCCTAATTAGGCAACAGAAACATAATAATGCTAAATATGTAACACTTATACAACAGGTACGCACACAGACTTAGGGTTTAGGGTTTAGGGTTTAGCGTTTGGGGGGTTTTGTTTTCGGTGTTTTACGGGTCTTAAGGGTTTTTGGGGTTTTAAGGGTTTTTAGGGTTTAGGTTTAGGGTTTAGGGTTTAGGGTTTAGGGTTTCTGTGTGCAGCAACGGGAATTATTGCGGAAGGCAGCAGCAGAATTCAAAACCCTTTCTGCTGCTTTGCAAGGAAATAATAAGGAGGCGCAGCAACTTAAGAGGCTTGCACAAATAGTAATAAACCCTAAACCCTAAACCCTAAACCCTTGTCCAACACAAGAGCCACACTACAAACCCTAGAAATATAATATTTATACACTCTTGTTGTAAACCCTAAATGCTAAACCCTAGGGTTTAGTCGACTGATGTACCGTTGGAACGAGGAATGGAATATAAACCCTAGTAAACCTAAACCCTAAACCCTAAACCCTAATTTGTTGTTTTCCTCTCAGCTCAATGATCGTCTTAAGGATCATGAACACACAATAAAAACTGCTCCCCGCGTTGAGGTAAACCCTAAACCCTAAACCCTAATCCCTAAATGCAGCCCCTTTTTCTGCCCTCGTGACTACTATACGCTCTGGGTTTAGGGATTAGGGTTTAGGGTTTAGGGTTTATGGTTTTTCTTCAGGAGCCGCAAGAGGAGATCACAGAAGAGCAGCTACAGCAGGCTATGGCTAGGCTGGTAAGATAAACACGTAAACCCTAAACCCTAAACCCTAGCAGTCAGCGCATTCTTTTCCGTTGCAATAAACGTCCTAGCAACCTGTCTAAACCCTAAACCCTAAACCCTAATTTGTGTTTGTTGTTTGCTGCAGCCGAGCGAGAAAACAATCAGAGCAGAATTTGAAAAGGCAGCGGTAAGCAAACCCTAAACCCTAAACCCTAAACCCTAGGATTCTCTCTTTTTGCTTTGCAAGGGTTTGTCTATTAATATCATCACTCAGCCACCGGCCCTAAACCCTAAACCCTAAACCCTAAAAGAAAGTGTTTGTTTTTGTTGCCTTTAGGGAGAGAAGAAAACCCTCGATGTTGCTGCAGCTGTTGCACTTAGCAGGCAATTGGTAAGCTCCCTTGCTGCTGCTGCTGCTCCTGCTGCTGCTGTACTTCCTGCTGCACTAGTTGTTTCTGCTGCTGCTGCTGCTACTACTACTGCTTCTGCTACTGCAGCAACTGCTGCTGTTGCTGCTGTGTTTTTTCTGTGCAGGGATTTGCGCCTAGCTACGAAGACATCGAGCAGCTATCTGCTGCTGTTGCTGCTCCTGCTGGTGGTGCAGCTGCTCCTGCTGCTGCTGCTGGAGGTGTAGTAACACTAGAGAAGTTTGTAGGGTTTTGTGTTGGTATTCGTCATGCTGAGGATACACCCGAAACCCTAGCTGAGGGTTTAGGGTTTTGGGATAAAGAAGGACGAGGGTTTATAAATATTAATCAATTAAAATATATTTTATCTACTTATGGAGAAACCCTAACAGAGGAAGAAATAAACATTTTTATACAAACCCTAACACAAGGAGAAACCCTAATTAATTATAAACAATTATGTGATACGTAAGCTATACAAACCCTAAACCCTAAACCCCAAACACTAAACACTAAAACCTCAGGAGGAAAAAGGATGCCCTAAACCCTAAACCCTTAAACCCTAAACCCTAATCCTCAACAGCGGATCCTTAAGACTGTCTAAACCCTAAACCCTAATGTACACTCTAAACCCTCATTAAACATCTTTTTTCTTTTCCTCTCCTTGCAGGCTCCTTCAATCCTAGGCGAGTCTTCCCAAACCCTAAACCACTTGCTGCTGCTGCTGCTGCAGTTGCTGCAGCAGCAGCTGCAGCTGCAATTACTGAAGCAGCCGCTGCTGCTAATATTTATTTTATTTATTTTTTGGTGTATGTGCACCTGACTCAAGTTCCTCTAAACCCTAAATTTGCTAAACCCTAACTTTATAGAAAAGGGGAAGAACATCGTAAACCCTAGCTTCTATTTAGGGTCTAGCAGCAAATTAGGGTTTAGTGATTTTTTTAGGGGAGTGCGGGATTAGGGCGTAGGGTTTACTGTAGGGTTTAGGGTTTACAGATGCTGTGAGTTTGCAAGAGCTAAACCCTAAACCCTAATAACTCAATTAGTCTACTCTTAGTTATTAGGGTTTAGGGTTTCCATATTTAAGCGGATCCGCTGCCGACACCGGACACGATTTGCAGAATCCAGCAAACCCTAAACCCTAGGGGTCTTATAGGCAGCAAAGGGTTTTAAACCCTCGATATAATTAAATAATTAATTTTTTGTTTTTTGCTAAAAAAACATTTTTATCGGTTTGCCTGTCTATATATCCTAAGGCGCTATACAACATGTAAACCCTAGCGTAAACCCTAGAGGAGCGACACAGGTCGGTAAGACTAACTAAATCCTAATTTAATTGTTATATAATTCAAAACATAAACCTAAATTCAAAATACAAACCCTAAGTCGTTTCCAATAATTGCTTTCGAGGGTTTGGAGTTTAGGGTTTAGGGTTTAGGGTTTGGAGTGGCTAGCACGGTTGACCAGTGAGACGGGCGGCGCCAACGAAGGCAAACCCTAAACCCCCAAATACAAACCCTAAACCCTAAGTTTTATTTTGTTAAATATCTACTTTAGTTATATATTAGGGTATTTTAATTGTTTTGTCGGTTAAACTACACAGACACGCAAACCCTAAGCAGTAAACCCTAAACCCTCCTAACCGGGGCTGCATGCGGTGGTTGTTCGTTAAGGAAACTCAGCAACAAAAGGCAACCTTCTAAAGACAAAACCCTAAACCGTAAACCCTAAACCCTCGACGATGAAGATGTTGAGACGGCTACTGCAGCCGGACACTCCAGCCGCCTGCGAACAGAAGCAGCAGCAGCCGCCTCCGCAGCAGCAGCAGCAGCAGCAGCAGGTAGCACCTCTTGCTGCAGCAGCAGATTTCGTAGGTTTAAAGATCCTCGGTGGCGGAGCAGCAGCAGCAGCAGCAGACCAACCCGCGGCCGACTCTGCAGCAGCCGAAGCAGCAGCAGCAGCAACAGCAGCAGCAGCAGCAGGAGGCAGACGTCGTAAATTTGAATTAGATGCTGCTGCTGCTGCTGCTGCTGCACCATATATAAGCAGCAGCAGCTGGCAAAGGGGTTTAGCGTATAGTCTTGGTCTATACACCCCGCAGCAACTGCAGCAGGAGCTAAACCCTAATGAGATTGCTGCTGCTGTTGCTGCATTCAAGCAAACCCTAGAGGACGTAAACCCTAATGATGCATGCAAGTATCTACAACTAGCGGAATATAAATGTCTTAAGGAGAATCAAGCTCATCGCGTAAACCCTAATAAACCCTAATAAACCCTAATAAACCCTAAACCCTAATAAACCATGATAAACCCTAAACACTAATATACCCGAAATCCTAAGTTCTAAACCCGAATTTACCGCAAACCCTAAACCCTAATATCCCCAAATTAACCCTAATAGACCCTAAACCCTAATTAAGTCTAATTATTTCTTAGTAAACCCTAAACCCTAACGCTGGATTTATAGGGGATTGCCGTCATGTGAACCCTAAACCCTTCATCAGCCTGTCCTCTGCGAATCCGCAGAGATGACAAGCTAGGGTTTAATAGTAATAGCAAACCAGGGTTGAGGGTTTAGGGTTTAGGGTTTGGGGTTTGGGGTTTGCAGGATCCGGAGACTGCGAGCACCAAGTGCGTCAAATGGTTTCAGGAATGGAGGCAGTGCAAGTAAACCCCAAACCCTAAACCCTAAACCCTCATTCTAAACCATAAACCCTAATTCCCATCCCTAAACCCTAAACCCTAATTTGGTGTTTCTGCGCCTCGCATGTCTCATTTCTTCGTGTCTCACGCGCCCTCTGCTGCTCCCCTAAAACCAAACCCTAAACCCTAGTAAACCCTAAACCCTAATAAACCCTAAACCCTAATAAACCCTAAACCCTAAACCCTTTTTCTTTTCTTTAGGTGGGACGAAGAGAAGCTAGAAAGAGGATATACATATATAGAAAGTATACCCGAAAGAAAACATAAACCCTACATCGCTACCCCGGACTATCAATACTCTTAAATTGCTGCTGCTGTTGCTGCTGCTGCTGCAGCAGCAGCAACAACAACAACAACAACAACAGCAAGAAAAGCAGCAGCAGAAACGGCAGCAACAGCAGCACCTGCTGCTGCAACTGCGTGATGCTGCTACGCCGTTTGTATATGCAACCGTTGCTGCTGCGGAGGCAGCGTGTACAGCAGCAGCAGCAACAGCAGCAGCAGCGTGAACAGCAGCAACAGCAGCAGCAGCAGCACGTATTTGTTGTTGCTGCTGTTGCTGCATGCTGATGTCCCTTCTCGGGGCTTCACCGACAGCAGCACAACAGCAGCAGCAGCAGCAAGAGCAGCAGTTGCTGCTCTTGCTGCTGCTCTTGCTGCTGTTGCTGCTGCTGGCGACAGAAGAACAACGCGGATTTATTTGTTGTACATTTAATACTTTGTAGTGCACATAGTTCTGCTGCTGTTGCTGCTGCTGCTGTTGCTGCTGCTGCTGTTGTTGCTGCTGCTGTTGCTGCATATGTTGCTGCTGCTATCTACTGCATCTACTGCATCTGTTGCTGCTGCTAGATATTACATCTGCTGCTACTTCTGCAGCTGCATCTGTTGTTGCTATTACTTAATTAATTTAATTAATTAATTAATTAATTAATTAATTAATTAATTAATTAATTAATTAATTAATTAATTAATTAATTAATTAATTAATTAATTAAATATACAAAAAAAATAAATAATAGAAAGGAGTCACGAAAAAAAAAACAGAAAAAAAATAAATTGGAGGTAAAAATACCTCATGAGGCTCACGCCTCTGCTGCTCCTTTTTATTATTATTCTGCTGCTGCTGCTGCTGTTTCTGCTGCTGCTGTTGCTGCTGTTTCTGCTGCTGCTGCTGTTTCTGCTGCTGCTGCTGCTGCTGCCGAGGTAACAATACCTTCGTTGGACTCACCCCTTATTATTATTCTGCTGCTGCTGCTGCTGCTGCGGCGGCGGCGGTTTCTGCTGCTGCTGCTGCTGTTTCTGCTGCTACTGCAGAGGTACAAATACCTTGGTGAGGCTCACGCCTCTTCTGCTCCTTTTTATTATTCTGCTGCTGCTGCTGCTGCGGTTTCTGCTGCGGCGGCTTCTGCTGCTGCTGCTGCTGCTGCGGCTTCTGCTGCTGCTTTTTCTGTTCCTTTTGTATATGTTGCCCACCACCATCAGCAACAATTAGCTGCTGCACGCCTCTTAGCTGCTGTTGCTGCTGTTGCTGCTGTTGCATACGTATCTGTCTCTTCTTCCTCCCCTATAGAATCCCCCCCACCACCGCCACCACGGAAACCGCCATCAGCAGCAGCAGCAGCAGCAGCAAGCGCTGCAGCAAGTGCTTAAGAACTCCAGAAGGAGCAGCAGCAGCAGCAGCAGCAGTAGCAGCAGCAGTAGCAGCAGCAGTAGCGGCAGCGGCAGCGGCAGCAGCAGCAGCAGCAGCAGTAGCAGCAGCAGCAGTTACCTGTAGATCATAATGCTTTGCATGCGCTACAAGTATTTTAATTTGTGTTTCTTCTTTTGCAGCAACAGCAAACACTCCTCCCTCCTCTATATATATTGTTGTCCCTGATCATAAACCCTAAACCCTAAACCCTAAACCCTAAACCCTTAAGCAGCAGCAGCAGCTGCTGCTGCCGCTGCAGCTCTTGGGAAGCTGTACTACTGCGCTGTTTGTATATGCAATCGTTGCTGCTGCAGAGGAAGCGTGTACAGCAGCAGCAGCAACACCAGCAACAGCAGCTGCAGCGTGAACAACAGCAACAGCAGCAGCAACGTGAACAACAGCAACAGCAGCAGCAGCGTGAACAACAGCAACAGCAGCAGCGTGAACAACAGCAACAGCAACAGCAGCGTGAACACCAGCAACAGCAGCGTGAACACCAGCAACAGCAGCAGCAGCAGCACGTGTGTGTTGTAGCTGCTGCTGCTGCTGCTGCTGGTGATCGAAGAACAAGGCTGATTTATTTGTTGTAAACTGTGAACTTGCTGCTGCTGCTGCTGCTGCTTCTGCTTCTGCTGCTTCTGCTGCTGCTGCTGTTGCTGCATCTGTTGCTACTGCTATCTATTGCATTTGCTACTGCATCTGTTTCTGCTGCTATCTGCTGCACCTGCTGCTGTTGCTGCATCTGTTGCTGCTGCATCTGTTGCTGCATCTGTTGCTGCTCCTATCTACTGCATTTGCTGCTACTGCATCTGTTGCTGCTCCTATCTACTGCACCTGCTGCTGTTGCTGCATCTGCTGCTGCCTCTGTTATTGCTATTATTTATCTATTTATTTATTTATTTATTTATTTATTTATTTATTTATTTATTTATTTATTTAACTAAATAAAATAAATAAAAAAAAAAGAGGAGACCTTAATAAATAAAATAAAAATTTATTAGATAGGGAAGAAGACCTCATGAGGCTCACGCTTCTTCTGCTTCTTTTTCTTATTCTGCTGCTGCTGCTGCTGCTGCTGCGATTTTTGCTGCTGCTGCTGCTGCTGCGATTTTTGCTGCTGCTCCTGCTGTTTCCGCTGCGGCTGCGGTTGCTGCTGTTTCTGTTGCTGCTGGTGCTGCTGCGGTTGCTGGTGCTGCTGCGGTTGCTGCTGTTTCTGCTGCTGCTGCGGTTGCTGCTGTTCCTGCTGCTGCTGGTGTTTCTGGTGCTGCTGTGGTTTCTGGTGCTGCTGTGGTTTCTGGTGCTGCTGGTTCACTTTCTGCTGTTGCTGCTGCGGCTGTTTCTGCTGCTGTTGTTGTTGTTGCTGCTGCTGCGATTTCTGCTGTTGTTGCTGCTGGTGGGATTTTTGTTGTTGTTTTTTCTGTTTCTTTTTCCTATGTTGTTCCCCACCATCAGCAGCATTAGAATTTGCTGCTGCATGCATATCTGCTGCAGTTGCTGCAGTTGCTGCAGTTGCTGCAGTTGCTGCAGTAGTATATGTTGCATTCATATCTGTAGCTGCAACACCAAAGTCTTCTTCTTCCCCATACAACCCACCAACCCCACCACCACCGCTATTATTCCTAGCAGCAGCAGCAGCAGCAGCAGCAGCAGCAGCAAGTGCATTAGCAGCCCCCTGTCTACTACTACCACCACCACCACCACCACGACCACCACCAAGAGCAGCAGGAGGAAGAGGAGGAGCAGCAGCAGCAGCATACCTACTATTCCATGAAGATTTAACTAATAAATATAAATTCATGGACTCTTTTGCATCTTCTGTTGGGCTATGAATATTTTTTTGTATTTCTTTATTAAAATGATATTTAATTAGTAATTTTAATGAAGGAATTATTAATTTATTTTTTTTTTTTTTTTTTTTTTTTTTTTTTTTTTTTTTTTTA